CGGTTTCTTCATTTACTGTTTTATATTTTTCTTCCAGGGGGGTTATCTTTAATATTTCTTTAATTTCTTTTTCTTGTTGTTCTCGTAATTCTTTTTCTTCTTTTGTTTCTGTAAACACTATTCTTTCATGTCCTCCTATTAATTTCATTTTCTTTTTGAATTCTATAATATTAATTGCTAATTTCTCCCAGTATTTGTTTCCAGTAATTCCTAATTCGTCTTTACATTTTGGACATTTAGTATATTTGTTGAAGGTATATTGTTTATGTTTCCAACAATATAAGTGTTCACAATGTAAATATTCTAGATAGTGTTCACATTGTTCCCATCTGCATTTTTCTCCAGCAAAAGATCTCACTTCCCAAAATACTTCTGATTCACATTTACAGGGGTTTGTTGGGTGTTCATGTTCAGCACAATATTTACTTGACTCTCTATAGCAAGTACAAATTGGGTATTCAACTCCTGCTTCGTCATATTCCATTGCTCCATAAGGACAACATTTTCGATCATGGATCATGGTTGTATTGGCATTAAATATGTGTATCTCTCCATCCTTCAATTTCTTGTGGTCAAAATATTGGCACATTGGTGTGCAATATTCACTTCGTGCTGCTTCTTCATGTTCTCTCCAACTGATATATTTGAATTTTCCTTTTTTATCAAAATTCGCTTTTCTCATGATTTCTTCTTCAGAGTCCTTAGTCCAGTCGATTTCTTCTTTACTTGATTCTCCTCTTTGGTTGTAATTACTTTTTTCTGGATTATAGGTTGGTCCATTAGCATACACATTCTTCTTTTCAGGGGGGTTGGTTTTTGTTCTTTTTACCACCATTGGTTCAGAACTTTGTGCTCTTTCTCTTTTTTCTACTTGAGATCTTCTTAATTCATATAGTTCTTCTCTTTCAGGGGTATGTTCTTTACCTTTCTTTTGACATCCTTTGCATCTTTCATACCAATTGTTATTAATATTAAAGGGTAAGAGGTCAAACAGTTTAGTTGCTCTTTTACAAAAACAACAGTGGGTATCAAATTTCCAATCAGGGTCTCCTTCTTCTTTTTGTCTTAAAGACATTTCGTATACAGGTGTTCTCTTACATCCACATTCTTTTGCGTAGTTTCTTCTATATCTTGGGTTATCACAATACTTGTCAATATTGTCTGTTCTGAAATGCTGAGTTGGTTTTTCTCCACATCTGTTGCAGAGTCTTTTATGCATATACCATTCTGAGTTGTAATTTGAGGATTCGGATCTCTTTCTGTAGTTCATGGTTTTTGTTCTTTAACTTTAATGTTTCTTTTGATAAAGATTTGTTCAGGTTTTTCAGTTTATTATTTTCTGAATGGGTTTTTCTAAAAATTTGATTTTTGTTTTCAGGTCTTTTGTTTTTCAGGGATTTCTTCATTGAAGATAAGTTTTCATCTTGGTCAAATTC